TGTTTGTCGCCTTGAAATTGGGAATCACTTCATGCTGGTGGGGGGGGGGGGGGCTGCATAGTTTCAGAAATGCCCGAGTAACTATTGATAGTTCTTATTCTGTTGCAGCCTGAGGAACAAGCTTACCCTTGAGAAGTTTGCGAGCCTCTCGCAGCAACTTCTGGCATGCGGCCTGGCAGCACTTGATCCGGCATTCTGACTTTTCAAGTGCCGCGTGTTTTTGGTGCGGCGATTTCTGCTGCTACTGCTACTCTGGTTTGCCAATCAGATTTGGGTCTATGCAAAGAGTCCCAGCCTCTCTATGAGGGCAAACTCCTTGCTTGGAGGGATATATATCTATATATATGTGTGTATGTATGTAGAGTGAGATTTCCTACATACTACAAGGATGCATGCTTCAGTTTGCAGCCTGTGGGCAGGTGGCCTTCGCACTTCGACCCTCGTCGAGGTGCTGATCCATGAGGTGTTCGAGAAGGCTCCTGCTTTCACGCAGCTGTAATTTTCAGCTTTCTGGTCTGTCCATTTCAGCATCACCGGCTGAGGCCACCACCCAGCATCACTTCATTGATATGTATGCGGACCCTCGCTCTGCAGCCTGGTGTGTCTGCAACGTTGACTGGCCACAAGTGACAGCCTGGAAAGCAAGCCAAGCCACATGCTGTAACCAGTATATCTAGTATGCACCAGGAATCGAAAAGCAGTGCCAACTGAGGATCTCTGCGTCCTGCTCCACGAGCACTTTACAGCCCAGCCTTTCGAGGATTGTTCCGGCAAGGCAGGGGATTAGTGGGTTGTTTCTTGCTCGGAGACTCTTACGTTAAGCCGCCCTCAACTTGTCTGAGACTGCTATCCGTGGATGGTGAGGATCCACATTCAGGAGCATTGTTGTTGTCATTGCTAGCCGTAGCATTATTGTCATTACTCGTAGGCTCTACTACGCCACGTCTGACGATTCGGGTTTCTGCCCGGTCTTTCTGGCAGGCAGATGGCCGTAAGATGACTTTCAAGAGGCTGCTGCTGGACGAGTGCCAGTCTCTGTGCTGCATGCAAGCAGACTGTGATGAGACGGGTTGTTACGACCACATGGACGAACAGATGACTGTTTTCAGGGCTCGCTCGCCCCAATCCATGCGAAGCTTCGTAGACTGCTTTGCCAGTCAGCGATCTAGGATTGAAAAGCAAACGCATATTTGGCAGCACACTCAGGTTGTACTGAGGACCTGAGGCACCTCCCGCGGAACCCCAAAGTCAAGCCACCTGATTGAAAGCGTCAAGCGCCCACACAAGCATGTGGGTCCTTTTGAGAAACGCAAAGATCCTACGCCCTACACCCCGACCATCCTCCGCAACGTGAGGGCCCAAAGCCTTCCGCCCGTCAGCCTCAAACTCCAAAGGAAGGCGAGAAAATATTCATAGTGGTAGCCTGGGTGCAGTACACATATTCCTGGCAATAAGCCCCCTAAAAAAGCAAGGCCCCCCGCCAATTGTTCCTAAATCAGGTCTTCCTTTGAGCGCCTGCTCTCCCCGCCGGAGGGATTGGAGTTGCTCTCGCCAGAGGACTTGACACAGCACTTTTAGGGTATAGGGATTAGGGTCTAGGGAGCTTTGGCTCTAGGGTAAACGGGTTTTAAATAATTCGGAGTACATCTGGGGGCTGCCGGGCTGTGATTCTGCAGGGGCTTCACCGGGCTGCATGTTTAGACATGCTGGCCCCAACAAGAACTGCTATGCTAAACCTTTCCTGAAGGATTCTGAACTCATTGCGCCAGGAGGGTTCTCAAGTAGTCATATGTTGGCTCAGAGAAGTAACCAACTACGGATTTCCGAGTGTGAAATAAAGCACGTGAGCTCACAAGCACGGGCATCCACCATAAAACCTCAAGCCCTACACCCCTGAATCTTAAGCCCTATGATGTATATCCACGAATCCTAAAGCCTGCAGTCCTTGCGCCCTTCAATCCCAAACCCAAAAATCTAAACCCCAAACCTTAAACCCTACATGGTAGTTTCCATTTTCCTTTCCATCATCCCTATATAACCCCAAAATATATCCTTTTATACCCCTTTAAACGCCAAGCCCCAAGCGACAAACTTTGCCAGTCCTTCAGGACCGTACCGCCGAGGAGGCCAGGTTCTTTGTTTCAGGGTTTGTTTTTTCAAGGGTTCAGGGTTTAGGGGGTTTGTTTTTTCAGGGGTTACATAGGGGTTATATAGGGATTTTAGGGTATATGTTGGGGTTCGAAAGGGAGAAGCTACTATAGGGATTATATTAGGGGCGTTGGTGTGAGAGTTTAGGCTTACGGGGTTAAAATGGGCTATAGGGTTTGGAGGTTCGGGAAAGAGGCCCGTGGTTTAGGCTTCAGGGTTCTGCCTTTTGTAGTGAATAGCACAGTCATGACCTATCAGCATTCTTGCCATTACTTTCGTTTGAATGCGGTCCAGGGGCTTCTTCTTGTGTTCGCTACAAGACATGGGGCGTATGTTTGTCATAATGGTCAGTTCGGGAATAGGAACTTTCCAAAAGCGCTAAGCCTCAAGCCCCCTACCGCATCCTGAAGTCACATATTGGGTCCATTGTCCGGGTTGAAGCCCAACATTCTTGCGTACCCCGCTATACCCCTACATCCTCTGCCAAAGAGGGAATCTGTGGTCCCCAATGTACAATAAAACTATATCCTGTTGGTTGTGTATTTTTACCAGAAGACAACCATCTTGCATAATTTGTTCAACCGCCGGAGCACTGCCCAGGTGCGCTACAAGACGAGCATGTTGGGCAACATCCGCCTGGTTGCTGGGTTGCTGTTAAGGAACTTGAACTAAGTTACTATGATAACACTTCCCTATTATTTACTATCTGCCCATCTTATGGTATCTCAAGCCCTAAACCCTATATACTCATATTATGGTAACTTACGCCCTAAACCCTAAACTCTCTATACCCATATTATGGTAACTCAATCCCTAAACCCCCCTCCCCACAACAAAAAAAATGTATATATAACCATATTATGGTAACTTAACTTAGGCTCCTGAACAACAACTCAGGTTGGCGGCCTTCTTAGCCGCGGGATGCTGGCCAGCCGGGCGGCTGGACTGCAGACTGGGTTGGCAACAGATTTTTTGAGAATTTCTATGCTTACTGGTTAATAGTTCTGAGTAGGGAGTATGGGAATATGTTATAAAGGGATTATGTAGGTATCACAGTCCCTTACTCTCTACTAAGAACGTTAGAAGTATCGGGTGTGCCTGGCAGTGTGCTCCTTTAACTTGTTGGTGCTGGATTTCCCTCACATGGACAGGCCCTACACCCTAAACCTGGTCTCTGGGCCTTCATGACTGTGCTGGATGTCACAATTGCTGTCGCATGGCACCTGTTGCTGGTTACCGCCTGCGCTAGTGTTTACGTCACTCCAAGCATTAGACTGAAGTCTGCCTCGCATGGCCGGGCTCGAGTCTTGCGGCTTTGTAATCCTGTTCTTGTCGCAAGTTGTACTTCTAGAATGGAGAGACATGTTTGGCAAGCCCCATACAGTCCCTAAACTATCATGGAACATTTGGAGAATCACGCGTCCGGTAGTCACGTATAGGATTCATTGCTGAAGTTCTGCTGCTTCTTGCAGTTGCGGCGTTTGCAGCTAGTCTGTCCCAAGTGACTTGAGACAACATGAGACATGAGAGCATTCGGGCACGTGAGCATCTCTGTAGGCATCGTTCTGGATGATTTCTGAACATGATCAAGTTTGAGGAACAACGACAGTTTTCATCATTTTCAACTTTGAAAAAACATTGCGGTGAGAGAGGTTTGCTGGCAGCCTTGAGCACTTTGCTGTTCACGCGAGGTTGGCATCGCTATCCTGGAGGACGCCACAGCGCAGGGGCAGGGGGTTTGAATCAGTCGTAGTTAGGCCCAGAGGTGCCCGAAGATGCCTCCAGCATCTGCACCTGCTGATTCCAGGCGTGCAGAGGTAAAATAAATATTCCCTACAGTCTTAGTGCTTATGAAAGCTTCAGCTTAGAAATAGCAGGGAGATCCTGACCCCATGCCCTGCAAGATATAACATCTATGAGGAAAGCTGCTTCCAACAGAGGCCCCAGAAGCGTTTAGGTTCCATTCTAGTATCAGGGTCAGAGGCATCTGGCTAGGGGTCTGTACCGCAATCAGATTTGAGATTGTTACATGCCTTGATGCTAGTCAGTGTATGGTCGGGTGGGGGTGGGGCGCAGTCCATAAAGTCTTCAAAGCAGGATCTCACCAAGAAAGGATGCCAACACAATAGCCCAATGCTTAATAAGAGCCTAAGATGAGTACACCGGTTGCTGTCTTGTCAGTATGATTGGTGGCCTTGCCTCATGTCCCACATGCCACACTGAAACGCGGGTCCCAAAGTCTCAGATTGGCAGGAGCTGCTGTCCAACCCCACTCCTGAGGCTGGGGGTGGAGACATCATGAAGCCTTGTGTTTAGGGTGAAGGGTTGAGGAGGTTAGGTCTGGGGCTTGGTGTTTACGATTTCACTTGGGATGGCTCTCGAATTGATTTTGACCCTGGTGACTCCTTCAAAGCCTTCGGTGCATTGGCCGGAATATATGTCGTGTCACTACCTTTCCAAGGACTGACTAGCACCTTCCATGGTCCATAAGAAGTACAGTGGGCTCTCTCTGCAACCTCCCGCTGAAGAGTTTCATAGGGAGGCGAACAGCTAGCGGAGGGCCTTCATGGAGGTTAGTGGCGGCGCCTATATGCTGCGATGCAGATGTCCAATTTGCTGCTTTCTCACGGTTATGTGCTATTCCTAGCGCGATTGGCAGGATTCTGACTTGCCAGTTTTGTTTCGCTCTTTCCATCGGCAAGACAGGTTTTCAGTGTCCAAACCAATGCGGTTTTCAGTATTGTTGTCATCCGAACTGTGCAGTAGCTCCCACACGGAAGAAGGTATTTTACAGCCAGTTAGATTCTTTTGGTCCTGAGCCACTATGACACTATTGGATGGTTGTGTTCTTGCTCCTGCTCCTTCGACATTTTGCGCTATTATGATAACATAGTAGTTTCCATTTTATTTTCCATCATCCCTATATACCCCCCTATATAGCCCTAATACAACCCTAAGATAACCGAGAGGCCTTGGAATCCATTGCTGCGATGCTGACCGTTCTGGGTCCGGTGGCTGACAACACGGAGCTTTGGATGGAAGAGAGGGATTGGGGGGCTTGTACGCTTACACAGAAGAACGCCAACTGAAGTGTTGAAAGTATCGTTTGCTCATTTTCTGTTCCAATACTTAAATCCAGTGACGCGCCTGTCAAGCAGACTCTCAATTGGGGAGCAGCCGTCTGCAGAAACTCCCATGCAACTATGCTGCAAACACTCTGTAAACCCTAATATTGGCATCTGCAGGAGTGGCCGCAGTACACCGCGCTGACCGGCGTGTTTGATCAGATTCTTGGCCATGATATGCGGAAGTTGGCTACTCTCTGAACCTGAGACCCTAAACCCTAAACCCTAAAGTAGAGTTCTGTTTGAGATAATGGAAAAAGACTTCGACAGTCCCTGCAGCGCTGAGAAGACTATGCTAATGGTCCGTAAACGTAAAGTGTTGGGATGTTCCGCAGGCTGCTGGTAGGCAACACGGCATCCCTAAAACGCGGTTCTGCTGGCACCCAGACACCAAACACGAATCTCAGTAAACAAAACAATGGTAATAAGTGTAATAATAGTAATAACAGCAATAACAGTAAAAATAGTAATGCTCGTGATATTTAACTGGAGATATTCGTACTAATAGTAAGTCATAATAGTAATTATCGTAAAAACAGTAATAATAGTAATAATAGTAACGGTAGCAACACTGAGAACCATGGCAAGTGGTCAAATTTTAGCCCGCAGCCGGTTGCTATGCCTGGTGGATGTTCCATTCATCTGTAGACCCCCTTAGGTAGGTAGAATATGGGGTATATGGGATCTTATTATAACTTGTTCAAAGCCATATTCGATCTACTTAAGTGGGACTATAATGATTTGTAGACACAAAATGTCCCTGGCGAAGGCAGGCGGAAAAGGAACAATTTGTGACCATTTTGTTCTTGTTGCTCACGCCCGCCCTACTATAAGTATCATTACTAGTGCCTGTGATCTTCTATTGGTCGAACTTCTTTGTCCTAATTTCTTCTCAGAATCCTTCAATATCCCTGGGCACCCCAGGGTTTGGGAAAGCAACCCTAAACCCTAAAACCCTAAACCCCAAACCCTAAATAGTAGTTTCCATTTTTTCCATATCCCCATATACCCCCAATGTGACCACCCAGACCCCTGGGAGGATCTAAAAATTAGATCCCCTATATAGATCCTTTATAACCCGTATAAAATCCTTACATAATTTCCCATATGGTTCTAGGGGATCTAAGTTTTAGATCCTTTTGGGGGTCTGGGCACAGAAACTCCAATTCCAGGATCTCCACCATCGTCAAGGCCAAGAAGTGCCCGTCTCGTGAGCGCTTCCTCCTGAAGGATGCACCTCCTTGGAGCCACTTGAGGTTATAGTCTACACTCCATAAAGGGGGGGTTATATAAGGGATGATGTAGGGGACTACTATGGGGGTTATTAAGGGGGATACTAGGAGTTTAGACTATAGCTCACTTGAGGTTATAGCCCTCCTTGAGGTCATAGCCATCCTTAAGCACACTCCTCCAATGACAACAGCTTACGGCCGTCTATTGAGATTTCGAGTCTGAGACTCGAAGTGCAGACTAAGGCTTTGGAGTCCTCCGGAAGGGATCCGTACAGCAGTCGCTATAAGCAGTCGCTATAAATCATCCCAAGGTGATCCGACAATTTTCATTGTCTGTGCCTTGCTGCTCTTATTCCCTGCTGGCCGCCCACCAGTGAAGAGTCGCCCTGAACTCTGACTCCTGACACCTAACTTTTGGGTTTCAAGGGACACCTGGGATGTTCATGGACTTTAATAAGGGAGATGTTTTCCATTCCGTTTCAAACTACCAGTAGGAGCAGAATATAATCGCATTGGTAGTTACTGTACTGTCCTTAGGATTTATTCTGAATTTTAGTATAGTATAACTATGGCAATATTAAGAATATCATTTTTATTATAGGTCTAAGGAAACTACAGGTTAATTACCATGAGCATCCATGAGCTCCCAAGCGGGATTGACGGAAATGGACCGTATGTTCCTACCACTGTAGTGGTGGGATCTAAAAGAGTAGCTCATTCTCCTACACCCCAACTACTAACTACTACACCCAACTTCTGTGCCTTATGTGAGCTTTGCTTCTTGAAAAGGGATTGCAATCCTCGGCAATGGGTATGCCCAGCATGTTCTCCAAGACACTACAAACCCCCTTCCAGGAACCGCCCACTCTATGGCACCCTGAGAAAATAAGTTCTATAGAGAGGACCTCCTGGACCTTCGTGCTGCCCGCTGGGTGGACAAGAGGCCCAAGAAGATTGAGCGAGCGATGACCCTGGCGCAGGCCTCTGGGGTACAGTTTTGTACTTAACTGTAGTGGTCAACATCACCCCTGCATAGGCCCTAGGGGGGGGCCCTCAGAATCCCTTCATTATCCGCTACTACCCTCAGGTCCTCAAGAGTGCTTCCTACTTTGAGAAACCCCATATTGTAAGAACACCCCCAAAACCCAGAGACTAGACAAGCTCAAGTAACTAACTATCAATCGCTTTGACCTGTATAGTCTCTATACGCTGGGAAATATCCCCGAACCCTCACAGGTGGCAGACAGTGCAGCCGGGCGCAAGGTACAGGACAGCGGCACACAAGAAAGCTGTGGACCCATCTCGCCCATAGAGTTGAGGTTATATAAGGGTAATTTTTGGGCTAGATCGGGATAATGGAAAAGAAAATGG